CCTGGATCAATCACAATCAAACTTCACACATACATCATACATGATATTATACATATGCACGTCAATTTGTTTCACGATCTGATTCAAGATGGCCGAATGGCGACCATTTTGTGCTAAAAAATCCTAAAAATCAAGCATTTCTCGGCTGTTTACAGATGGATTTTGTTCAAACTTGGTATATACATTAGACATTATAGGACCTTGATGCAAATAATTTTGTTTTTCAGATAAGATTCAAAATGGCCGACTGGCGGCCATTTTGTTTTAATGAATGTGGTTCTCGTGCCATATCTCTGACTTGCTTTCACTGATTATGTTCAAATTTTAAATATTCATTATACATCATGTCATAGATAGACAGATATATTGGTTTGACGATCCTATTCAAAATGACCAAATGGTGGCCATTTTTGTGCTAAAACATCATCAAATATCAAGCATTTCTGGCATTTATGGATGGATTTCATTCAAACTTGGTACATATATTAGACATTACAGGTTCCTGATGCACATCATTTATTTTTCAGATTGGATTTAAAATGGCTGTCTGGTGGCCATTTTGTTTTAATGAATGGGCTTCTAGACCCATATCTCCAACTTGTTTTGACTGATTCGAATTTTAAATATTCATTATACATCATGTCATAGATAAACAGATATATTGGTTTGACGATCCTATTCAAAATGGCCAAATGGTGGTCATTTCTGTGCTAAAAAAATCATCAAATATCAAGCATTTCTGGCATTTATGGATGGATTTTGTTCAAAGTTGGTACATACATTAGACATAACTGGTTCATGATGCACGTCATTTTATTTTTCAGATTGGATTCAAAATGGCTGACTGGCGGCCATTTTGTTTTAATGATTGACTGATTATATTCAAATTTTATATATTCATTATACATCATGTTATAGATATATACATGTATTCAAAATGGCTGATTTTGAATGCTGTTCCAGAGCAATATCTCTCAATATGGACAAGTACTTGTTTGACGATCAGATACAAATGTCAATCATTTTAATATTAAAAAATCATATTCCTGACATGGTTATATTCCAGCTATATTACTATAAACAAAACTATATATCTTAAATTTGATTTAATTAGTTAATTTTTAGCTTTTTGCCTGATATCTTAAGTACTAATCATCATATTTCAATAGGACTTGCTTCATAGATCTTCTAGGACTATGCAGAGACCTGATTAGTTTTAGTTGGATATTAATTACCTAATTTGCATAATGTTCCACTGATATATAAAGAACAACGAGTTGAATTTTAATGAAACTTTAAAAGAAAACTATGCAGAGACCCAATTAGTTTTTGGTAAATATTTATGCTTATTAATCACCTAATTAACATAATTTATTAACACTGATATCTCAATTACTGATCATCACATTTGAATAAAATTTGGTACATAAATGCTCTAGGACAATAGACAGGCCTGATTAATTTTGGGTTAAATTTGTTCACATTAATTCTTTAATAATTCATAATTTTTTTGTTCTGTTCTGTTCATATTAGTTACTGATTTACATAATTAATTTTCAGCTTTTCCATCAATATCTCATGTAAAAGTAATTTGAATTAATTTTTAATGTGTCTTCAATACTCGCAGCACACGGGAGTTCTTTCTAAGCTTTCTTTGATTAATTGTTGGTTTTTTGTATATTTGCTTTGTCGTGTCACTTCTCATGTTTTTTTTTTATTGTGTATTATATCCATTATCATCCATTCCAAGGGATGTTAAGTGATTAAGTAAAATAAATAAAAATAAACATATGATTAATTTGGTCTAAAATTAGAAAGAAATTGAAGGAAAAATGCATGAAAATGTACAAAAATGTTTTGCCAAAATTTTGACAGAAAAAATCATAGCATTCCAAGAATTAATATATAATTTCATACTCATGTGAACTCCTATTATGTATTGTAGTATACAGCAGAGTATGGCTTAATAGCTGACTTCAAATTAATGTTTAATAATGCAAGACATTATAATGAAGAAGAATCCCAAGTATACAGAGATGCTGACATATTGGAAGAATTATTGATGAATAAATTAAAAGAATTTGGACCATTACCAATGGGTGAGTCTTCTATCTATCAATTGTTGAGTTATGCAAATTTGTGTATCATTGGTTTATATAGAGACGACTGTCCCAGATTGAACACCAAGTACCTCAGACTCCAGTGTCACTGGCAAATGTTTATCTGGACAATTAATTTCACAGTAGTTGAGGGATCTTCAATAATTGTTGTTTTTTTTAATAGTGAGCAATATTTTGCTCACTAGATCTGATATGAACTTCTTGTCTTTTTTAAATAGTCAGCAAATTTTCCCCATGAATAAGATAATATGAGGTTATAACGAGGATACCAAAAGTATGCACAAAGACAGTACAGCGGAGGTTAATGCGTCGCATACTGTCTGAGTGCATACCATTCAGTTTCCTCGTAATAACCTTATTATAATACATCTTTTCCTTCCAAGGAAATATCATGGAAATGCCGAAATACAAAAAGTTTAGAACAGATTGAGCGAACTTCTTTGTTTGGGGTCTGGTTAAACCCCGGTGGCTACCATGTTTGTTTTTATTATTATGGAATTCGCATTTCCTAATATGGTAGAATGAGAATACCCAGTGCAATACCGCAAAATTACGGCATGCTGTATCGTATAGCGTTATGGTGACACATGTATAATAATGACTTATACTTATTATAAAGGTAGAAAAGTTATCCGTTATTTATAAGTTTGAAACATGGTTATGGGAAAAATGCATATATCGCTACATGTATTTTGAAAAAAAGTTCTATACAAGTCTACAGTATGTGCAAATCTGACTTTTTGATTACAAATTCTCAATCTCTAAGCTGTATCAAAAAGATATTTTGTGACTACCAGGTACTTATCAAACCTCTGTTATCGGTTACTTCTAATTAGTGGTTGTAGGAGTTTCTCTGTAAGTTGGGTAAGTGTGATACTAATTCAGCTGGTGAAGCGAGTGATAAAGATTATTCACTTTAGAGTGCAGCTTCAGTGTAAACTTGATTAGGTCAGCAGGTGGTGAGTCAAATTGTCATAATGCCATTATGATCGGTTGACAGTCACACAAACAGCCTTGTCAAATGTGGAGTCTATGCAAAGCTATTAACAAGATTGTGACTGATTGGCTACCCAACCTGAACACCTAACCAGTCAGACCAATCAGAGAGCATGTTGTTTGTTGGCAGGTTTTCTTTGATGCATCAAATTCCGCCTTGTATGTATGCTTCAACTCAACTGCACCTGTGTACAGCAGTCGTAAATATGCAATGTGTTCTTTTGTTACTAAATAATACTGTATGTATAAAGTCAGCAGTGATATTCACTGTCTATGGTTTTGCCTGACACAAAATATTTTGTAAATGTTCTCCCTGCTCAATAACTTAATTTTGTTTTCCCATACTTTTAGAACCATATCCAACTCCGAAAGGTAAATCACTGAAGAAGATCACTCCAAAGAAGCCATCAAAAGCACTAACACCACTAGCCCAGAAGTTAAATGAGCTCTGTGAAACAGTCAACAACTATAAAAATTCCAACAAGAGAATATTGTCAGCAATTTTCCAAAGGTTGCCATCTAAAATTGTAAGTCGGAGAGTAAAATAAATTTTTACACTCTATTGTATCTGTAATGTAATGGTGACCACGTCAGTCAACAGAATCAAAAGATACAAATCTGTAACACCAGTTAGACGTACTAAAACTAGAACAGTATAATTTGTGTAACTACAAGCGAAATCATCAGCTGATGATGATTCCATTCCATGCATCTGATAAAAACCTATAGTTATGAAAGTTTGATGTTGTTATAGATTATTAAGTCTGCCAGGTGCACCCGTTTACTGTATCTACTATAGTATACATATATACAGGGGTCAAAGTTCAGCCCTAATGACCTGCGACAGGATTGTTTGTCCTAACAAATATGTGAATATAGATTAGATTTTCACCAAGTCGTGTAATTTGGAAGAAGATTGCCAAATCCAGATTGAAATGTTATGTTTTGGGAAAATAATCACATTTTGATTGAAACAGGTACTGGTACTTCACTGATTTTGATTTTCCAGTTTGACTGATTTGGAAAGCGCAATTTCAGCCACAACAAGTATTGAACTAATCTTATGTTACAAACCCTGTAACCTCACAGCTGTATCTTGTATTGTGTTGTTGACAGGAATACCCAGAATACTACCAGGTTATCAAGAAACCTATTGATATGCAGAAAATCTATCAGAGGATCAATCAGTACGATACACTGGATGATATGGTGTCTGATTTTCTTCTCATGTTTGATAATGCTTGTAAATTTAATGAACCGGATTCACAGATCTACAAGGTAAAGACTTGTTTATTTGTTTATTTCTCAATTTCTCAATACATGTTATTACATTGAAAATTTGTCAATAATGGAGGAAATACAGTATATGGCTTTTAAGTATGAATATGTCTGTATATAATGTAAAATGCTGTCTGTGTAACCCTATTTACTACATTTCAAATAGGGAAAATGTGTTTTTTCTTTTCAATTTAATCATTAGCACTGTAGTGTTGGATGATGTTATTGTTATGGTATTGTAATTTCAACTTTCAAAGGCACTGAAAATAAATTTGTTTTTCATTGATTTAACTACTGTACTGTAATTATTCACAAGATTTTAATTTTGCTTATAAGTAAAATCCGCTGCATTAATAAATCTATGTGAAAATGTAAAACAAAAATAAAACTCATTGTTTCCTTGACAAATTAGTGAAATTAAAACACAGTGATTATTATTAAAACATCAAAATAGTAAAATTAAATGTCAGTGAAAATAAATAGTTTTATAGTATGCACAATTTCAACTTGAAAGATTTTATAGCTAACAGCGAAATAAGGGAAGAGTAGGAAATCAAACTCGCGGTTTACCGCGGTCATTACCGCGGTGGTGGTGGGTGCTCGCCGGTCGACCGCATTTTATGCAAATTTATGCATAGATTCCATGACCCCGGTTTACCGCGGTCATGTGCGGTAGGCTCGCATTGCAATTTACACCCTATTGTTAAGACTATGAATGGACACAATAGACTGGGAAACTAAAGGTTACTTGCCGCCAA